GCGCTTGGCCATGCACAGCAATAAAGCCCATCCTGAGCCCATGATATGCACCAGGCCGTGTGCTCAGCACCAGATAAACATCATCTCATTTAATCACTGTAACAACCTTGTAAGGAATTATTATTCCTATTTTCCAGATGAGGAAACTGACACTAAGGTGCAAAAAGTCACACATTCCTTCTAAACAGTTTTAAGTTTTGTTCAAGGTGGCTTTCTTAGAAGCAGCCAGGGCACTAAGGAATGGGTGTAGAATGGGAGACGGGGGCAGGAGACAGTATGCACGGGGTCAGCCTTGGTAAATGGGGGTTACTTTTCAGTCTGATATTTTAAGTCACAGACTGTCTGGAAGAAGTGAGACTCCCAGTACCTCTAAGGCTGAACAGGAACCAGAGTGCTGGCCGGGAAGCTCCAACAAAGCAGTCTTTTAATTTTTAGTAAGAATAGGGAAACGAGCTTTCAAATGAATTAATTAACTGCAAATTAATTAAAATTAATTAAATGGTAGGCCACACTCTGTGTCAATGGGATGTGTAACGCTACTGAAAGAGGTGCTCTCAGAGAGACTAGCGATCTGAGACATTTTTTCCATTGTCTTTGAAAATAATTAAATCCACATTTCAGTGTTAAGACAATCACAAATGAAAAGAATCTTGCACTGAGAGAGCAGGAATGAGCCCTAGAACTCATGTAGTTTAGCCCTGTCCAATTAGGATGAAAAATGAAGCCCAGAGCAACGACCTTGACTTGCCCAGTCCTAGAGGCGGTTAACTGGCCAAATTAGGTCTTCTGAGAAACTACTTAAAAACAGACCCATAATGTGATTAAGCATCAAAATTTAAATTTTAAAATAGTGTGATATTTTTCCTTTAGCAAGTATAATTTTCCTCTGGGAGGTATTTATATCATCAAAATTATTTCTACACATTATTCAATGGCATTTTTCTATATTGGAATATATTTTATTCTAATAGTAACAATTTTATCCTTGTAAATATAATTATACATTTAATTATTTCCAAATTAATTATAAAAGTTATTAAATTATTAAATTTGAAATATATATAAGTACCCATAATGCCCAAACCCAGCGGCAAAATGTTGTTAAAATTCTCTTGGTTATCCTTTCAGTCTTTCTTCCAACATACACATTATGTTTTTTTTAAACTTAACACAGTGGTCTTACAGACATTTTATACTCTGTCCTTAATAGTGTATTTTACCATATCACTAAATATTAGTCTACGGTATCATTCTTAGTTGCTACTTATATCTTAACTTAAATCCGTCCCTTATAGTTATTTTAGGTGAGCCCTGTTGAAAAACAATGCAGCAATGAAAACTTTCGTAGCAAAATCTTTGGACACTTTCCCAATTATTTATCTAAATTTATCAATCTACTTCACACTTTTTCATTGAATAACTAAAGTACCAATTTACTTTGTTTAAAATATTAGTCCTATTCCATTAACATTGCTATTTAACTCGGTAAAAAAATTTTCCTAAAAAATGCATGCCTTTATTTTTCCCACCTACTTAATTTTTTAACTTCTACCACAAAGCGTTTAGTTTTCATGCATTTGCTTTTGGCAATGTAAAAAAGGTTAAACATATCACCAAAATACAAAATAAATGATTTCAAAATGATATCGTGAACTCTTATGCTTTCAAAACTTTTATCATACAAAGGAACTCTGTCATGATCCTATTTAAAATGAGAATAGAATAAGAAATACAGGACATGCCGCATTAATTAGGTAGCAATTCTGCAGTGTTAGTACCTGGAGGAGATGAAGGCCCTTTCCTTTGGCTGAGCATTACCCCCTTCATCTCATACAGAAGCAGCTGGAGAGCCCAGTTGCCCGCGCGTGCAGCTGAGGTATGCCACACCCAGAGGAAAGCCAGCACAACCTTCCTCCTCAGAGGATAAAATTCTATCCAAAGATTTACTTCTGAGGCAGCGTTAAAGAGAAATGACCATGGGGGTGTACACATTTTCATAAATCTTTTCCACGTTCACAAGAATCAGCCCTCTCCCTGTAAGCCTCACGGCGGGAGTCTCCCAGGATTCATCCAAACCGTTCATGACTATGTGTTCTGTGGGGTTTTCAGCTCATGCTTTACAAACAAATGAGCTTTTTCATTTGTTCCTAATGACTTTGGTTTATAGAAAAAGACCTTAAACTGTCCCAAGAGCAATCAATTTGCTAAAATGTGATTAGAACATCTTTACAAATTTAGCAACAAAAGGGGGTTCCATTAACAATGGAAATCACTGGGAACAGGCGGCCCTTGGCAAATTTAGCACTCACCAGTCTTGTTTTATTTTCGATGATAAGTACAAAAAATCTTGTGAACCAGACACTGATTCCTTATCTGGTAGGTGGGTAAGGAAGATGAGGAGTGGATGCGGTATGAAGAGGTGTTAGAAAAACCAGGGCGGTGTTCTCCAGCTAATCGCCTCTGTCCTTGCTCTTCTTAGGAGCCTTCTGAACGTTAAGCAATGTGTACCTCCTAGCGTCTGCTGATAGAGCCATTTCTGTCCTGAGGCTTTGTGGATTTGTAGCTGAGACTGAGGGCTATTTTTCAATGGACCGTCAACAGGTTCAGATTATATATGTAAACATATGTGTGTCTCATTTTCAGAGCAATCAAATTTGATACATTTGCGATGCACAGAACAGCTGCTGACAACTTGAAACTTGACCTGCAGTTTCTTGTAGAGCATAGACAAATTACGTGATTTTTCTCTTGGTTTGCAGCTTCAGCTTCTGATAAAGAATCAGCCAATATTCTGGGCAGCTTCACGTTCAAAGGCCTTCTTTGCCCGGGACAACTTTTGTTAGCTTCCTTCAGGATAGTCTGTCTGTCATTTCATCCAACAATCTACTGCTGAATGCCCTGTCAAAATTTCTTCTCCCTGCTCTATGTATGACCAGCTTGCCATACAGCACCTCCGTAAATACACTGCTGGCCTAAGTCCTTTCAGTCGCCCAGAGGCTGCATTTTAACAAGTATCACTTCAACGCTGGTGAACAGAATGAATATTTATTGTTGAAAATCTAGTCTTGCCAACATTGAATATTTCTCAAAGACAATTGATCAAAACTGTGGATTAAAAAAAATGATAATTAAAAAAAAGTTTAGAGGGCCAGAACAGTGGTGTAGTGGTTAAGTTCATGTGCTCTTCTTCAGCAGCTGGGGTTCATGGGTTTGGATCCCCAGGGCAGACCTGCACATCACTCATCAAGCCATGCTGTGGTGGTGTCCCACATAAAAAATAGAGGAAAAAGGTCAGGTGCGCTGTGTGGTGAGCTGGTCGTAAATAGAGCAGGGAGAAGGTTTCAACAACTATTGGGAAGACTATTGCTGGTACTTTCTTCAGAGGGGTCCAGGGCTGGGAGGGAAGACAGGAGAAAGATGTGAAGCTCTTTGCAGTTTTCTTCTGATATCTGTATTCCTTTTGTTTTGTTAAAAACCAACCCAACAAACAAACAAAATGCTTGCCTCCTAATACTACAAAGAAACAAGTTTTCAGTCAGCAAAGTTAAAGTAACTTTTCTTCAGACACTTTAATTACTTGTAGGAAGAGACAGAATAATATAGTTTTAGTCATTTCTGGGAACCTTGAATTTTGTATAAAGCTTCTAACGACTATGCAAATGTGGGGTCCTGACCCACAGTCCTCAGCACCCTGACAGCAGCCGAACTTCGCTGCTTAACAGAACGAGGTGGGGTCATCTTTCTGGTGGCCATTCAGACACTTCTTCCTGTTTTCCAGATAGTCCTCCAACCACAGCACTGTTTTAACCATCAACATCCTAAATCTTTAGAAGGGATTGTTTCAGCTTACTATCCAGAGAAAACAGTTATTATTAGCCACATTCAAATTATAAATGAGAAATTTTAATAATGGATTACTGAATATTACACAAAGCAGAAATGCATTTTTAACTTCTTTTAAATATTGGAGTGATCCTTCAGAGAACTGAGGGATTTTTAAAATGTGGGGTATAAACTGAAACTTGAAAGAAGAATATTAGGTAAAAAGCTGCTATGGCAAAGTACACATGAGAATTCACAACTTATAAATAGCCAAGACTAACTAAATCCACTAAGAGTTTCCACTGCAACATTTATTTTGGATTCAAAGTCAAAATTTAGTTTATTTTTTATAGTCACTCTTGTAAACATAGGGTAAAGGTTCTTTATACTTTCTCAAAATTTACTGCTTATGTTTTATCATTTTATTATCTGTATTAATAATCTTCTAGGTTCCAAGATTTGGAGAGCTACTTGAGGAAAATAATTTTAGAAAAAATTGTCTACGAATTTAGGAGAAAATGTTTCTGTTTTATCCAAATTAGTCAGTCTCTTCAACTAGTGCTTTCTTGTCATTCTTGGGTCTACCAATTATGAGGACAAAATCTTTGGTTGACAAGTATGTCAATGTTGGTGGAAATACAAAACACCCTGTTTGTACTGTCTTTTTAGGCATTTGTGTTCCTATTTTTGTTTAAATATAATTTCAAGAGTGGAAACAAAATTTGCATTCAAAACTACTTTAAATAGGGGCCAGTCCAGTGGCATAGTGGTTAAGCTCATGTGCTCCACTTCGGCAGCCTGGGGTTTGCAGGTTCGGATCCCAGGCACAGCCCTAGCACTGCTGGTCAAGCCACGCTGTGGTGGTGTCCCACATAAAAGTGAAGGAAGATCGGCACAGTCGTTAACTCAACAACAATCTTTCTCAAGCAAAAAGAGGAGGATTGCCAACAGAAGTTAGCTCAGGGCCAATCTTCCTCACAAAACAAACAAACAAAACTACCTTAAATAAATACATTATTTTTGAATACTCTTACTATATAATATTATTCTCTTTTGGGTGATATCTAATTAACAAAATCCTCTTTTCTAAATTGACTATAGTAAAGCAGGAGTTGTCTTTATTTTCAATACTATTAAGCTTTTAATTAACAGAAAACCACCATGGGTTGCTTCTTTAGAATACCGCTAAATGTTAGAGACATCGTCTACTGTACAGGAGTTTCACTACTAGATGAGGATGTCTGGGAATTCATATGGATGAAATTCCACTCTACCACAGCTGTTTCTGAGAAGAAGATATTATTGGAAGCCTTAACTTGCAGTGACGACAGGAATTTATTAAGTAGGTGGGTCGATTAATTTTCTAAATTTATTCGTGTAATGAAAGTGTTTTCTGTTAATCAAACTCTTCTGAACTTACTTTAATTTTCTTGAGTATATGCTAGTTATTCTAAAATATATCTTCCTAGACCTAAGGGAGATTGCCATGTTAACATGACTAAAACTAGTTGAGTTGAAAGATATAGCACCTTTGTTTCTAACTATCTTATTTATTTTTTCATAAATATATGTGTAAGACAGCCTTCATTATAAAAGGAAGTGTTCACTATAAAGAATTTTAAAAGTGAGCTTGCGTCATCAAACCAGAATTGTGATTTCTCCACCCACAAGATTTTTCAGAATTTAATTAATGTGTTAATTAAAATACTATGACTTTGAGCTCCCTCCTTTTAAAAACAGAAAATTATTCTATTGATAAATTTGCATAGTAAAGTTTACTCTGGACTATTCTTTGAAGAATATGATAAACTAAATCATGTAATTTTACAGAAATGTTTAAGTTATTTGAATAAAGGTTTCCCCACAATTCCATCCTTAAAGGCTTCTGAATCTCTCGCTGAATTCCGAGGTGGTGCTCGACCAAGACGCAATTGACGTGATCATCCACGTGGCTCGAAATCCTCATGGCCGAGACCTGGCCTGGAAGTTTTTCAGAGATAAATGGAAGATATTAAATACCAGGTAGAAAAAGAGTTCAATCATTCACACCTGAATGAGTAAATTAAATGTGGCATATGAGAGAGAAAGACCCAACTTTTTGTGTTAAAACCAAGGTACAGATAACAGAATTAGATTTGGAAACAGTCAGCCAAGATGGGTGTTGCCACTCCTGTGAAACTCAGAATTACTTTAACAATTCTCTAACATTATTCATTTGTTGAAGATTGATAACCATAGTTATGTATGGAAATGTGGGGAGTGAAGAAGTTGAACAGGGCCTCTTACCCGGAAACTATCAAGCTTTCCGAGGTTCAAGAAATAGTATCATGAAACTCCTGTATCCTGAATGTGTTAAGGAAGAAAATGACATAAATCAGATATAATGGTATTATAATAAGAACACTTTAATTACTTCTATAAAATTGTTTTAACTTTCCTTTAAATATAAATATCATAAAACACCTGAAATAAAACCATGATATAGAGAAGGAACATTTGAATCATTGTAGAATTCTAGTTGGAGTAGAATTCATTCCTGAGACATCTTGCTTCATGGTCAGAATTCTTCATCCTCAATTTTAGAAAATATTTTATTATGTATTTAAATATATTATAATAAATGTTAATTTACTACTCTGATAATCTCTATAGTATTTTAAAATTGAATTTATTATAAAGCATATAAATTCTGCAGGTTCTTAAACTTAAATGTCCCCAGACAGTGAGCAGACCTACTATTCTGTCTCTTACAAATTGGTGTATACACTTTATTTTTTAAAGTACACCTTTATTAGCTGCTCTCATACAAGAAGTTCAATTTGAGTGGATGTGCCATATTAAAACACAATTCTATCTACGGGTATTTCATTGTCAGAAAACACTGATATTCCTAGAAGACACATTGGCTTTTTTGTATTTTCAGCTCAGAAATTGGAACAATCAGGAGAATAGGACTTACTTTGCTCTCATGCACATTAAACACACACACTGGCCTCTTCCCTTTGTCCCAAGAATCTTTCTGAAAAGCGAAAGTGACATTTCTGTGCTGGAAGAACTTCTATTTTCTGTGCCACACTGAAAATCCAAACTCCCTAATGAGTGCTCTGACCAACCCCTTGGCCTCTTATTTGCTGTTGGCAGCCTCACAGTGTATACACTCTTAGTACCAAATGCCTGCAGTTGTCTGCACACACCATTTCGCTTCACACCTTTTTGACTTTGCTTGTGTTGATCTCTGCCTAAAATCACAGTCTTCCTTGATGTTCGGAACTACTCCATACTCAATTTATATGCCATCGTCCCTGCGACACCTTTCCAAGACCCCACAGCTAAAGAGACCTTCTCTGAACATTGTGTTTAATTTTATTATCACCACATTTAGCTGTAATAAATGGAAATTATTTGTTTACAATACCGGATAATATGATACCTTCAAGGAAAAGATTCTGCCTTATTCATCTTCACAAGACTGTAAGCAAAGTTTAAGCAAAACTCTCTTAGAAAAAGGATTAGTTTCATTCCTGGACAGTAGGCCATTTCTGTAACCACATACTGATTACTAATGATTACTTACATCATTACCAAATGCCTATTTATTTTATTTCATTCAGATATTTTTCCCATGAAATAGTTCAGTGTCAGAATTACAGCAAACTATGATGGCCATCCAGTTGAGCCCCCTTATTTTACAGCCAAGAAAACTGGGACTCCAGAGCTGAATTACTGAAGGCTGCACAAGCCAGGGCAGCACTAGAAAGCCTCTTGTGGCCGTGACTGGACCTTTGCTTCCCCAAACTCAGAATCTCATTGTCTGTGTACTTTCCTCAGTTCTAAGAGTACCACAGCTTGTGCTAGGTGTCCTTAGCACAGTACAGACACGGATAAAGTGAGAAAGCCTTCCAACTCACCGGCACCAGCTGTCCCTTGCCTGGGTCGTGAGTCAAGCAATTATGCTGTGGTACAAGGATTATGATACCCAGAGAACAAGGTGATATTTTATTTTAATACCCATGTGAAAAAAATTCTAGTATTTAATATTTTGGGGAGCATTTTTGAGAAATTTGGCTCAATTTCTAAGCTTGAAAAAGGAGAATGCCAACATCAGTGATGACTGACTGGAGCAAAGTGTCTGTATGACATATTGAGAGTGCCCTGGTTGTCTTTCAGCCCTGTTTCTTTGTTGGGATCATTTTTCCTTATAATGAGCTAGATTGCCTTAAAATTGAAAGTTTAAAATCTTTCTTCCTCAGGCCTTGGGTTGGAAATATACTATTAATTTCTTAATCTAATTTAGAGGGCTCCTTTTTTTCTTTTTAAATTTACTACACCTTAGATTCCTCTAGCATGCTGTGAGCGAAATCAGGTGGCATCAGCTGGTGTCACATAGCCACAGCTCTTCCACCTTCCTGATTCCCTAGAGAAATGACCTTGAATGCTCAGAGATCCTAATGGCTACAAGGCAACACTGGTCAAATGGAATCCACGAGAATGGTTCTAAAAAAATCTGTATAGTAGTATTTCTTAAATTTCTGCCTATATTAATGTCTTTTTTTGGTCTTTCGAGGTATGGAGAAGCATTATTTATGAATTCCAAACTTATCAGTGGAGTTACAGAATTTCTTAATACTGAAGGTGAACTCAAAGAGGTAAATATTTTAAGATGAGTTCTAATGCTTTTCTTCTATAAACATGTGAAATTATACATTTACTTCAACCATTTCTTTTCAACAGATTCATACCCATTCCTATAACACACACACACATACACATACATCAATGCTAAAGACTTTACTCAATAATTATTTGCAAAAGTATTTCTAACATATTAAACTTTAAATGCCTGTGAGACACATTTGAATGTAATGATTCTCAAGCTGGGGGACCCAAAACCACTCTAGAAATCCTTCATCCAGTCAGCTGCTCCTCCCTCAGCTGGTTCTGTGAACCCAGTTCAGGATCTTTGAAACAACAAAACTGTGCTGTCACATGACTCAGTATTTTCATACGGAGGACCCAGGCTGGGGGTGAGGTGCAGAGTTGGGGCCTCCTGCCCTGCCGCCAGGCCTGTCCAAAGCCTGGGCAACTGGGTGTGACCATGTGCTTCACACCGGTAAATGGAATGAATGCATATGTGTACAAAGGGTGTGTCTGGCACACATGTTGAGATTATCAGTTTGTTTAATATTCTGCTTGGTACAACCACAAATGAATTTAATTAGTGAAAATAAACTTAATTTTTAAAGGAGTAGTGTCCAGGTTGTGTAGCATCTAACATTTCCTTATTTCTCTGATTTATTTTTCTGGAAATTTAAAGCAGCTAATTTTGTTTGTTTGTTTACCATTAGCTCACATATTTAATAGAGAGAGGTGTGAAATGGGAAGAGGTCAGTAGGTAGGAGGAAGGAGCAAAATATAGACACTGCTTTGACTTGATTAAAACAAGTTGGGCTTCAAGTGTCCATTGCTTTTTCGGCAGCCGCTCTCCTCCATTACAAACTGTATAGCTGAGATTTGGCAGTGAGAATCACGGTCTCCTCAGTTCTCACTGGCAGAATGCCAGCTGCGGTGACCCAGAGCTAATTGCTTTGAGCAGTGTTCCCCCAGAAACATCAACCCCAGCACCACCCTTAATATCTCCTAGTACTGCCCAGTTTCGTCTGATCGTCCCCCGTGCACCGACTTGGATTCTTTCACACCATAAGCTAAGCTAAGCTAAGTCTCTGATTGTAATGATTTCAAGTTCAATTTTTATTCCTGTTATGTGTGTTTCCAACCCTGAAGGCTTTGGTTTCGAAAGCCCCAGTGCATGTTTTACGATATTTTTTAGTAAAGGAGTTAAATGGGAAGGACTTTCATATCTAGGAGAAGCAAAAAGAAAGAGCAATTAAATTAATGATTGCTTCCAATTTTCTCTGTATTTAAATAAAGTACTTTTAATTCCATGATTTTACATTCAGTAATCTGGAAGGGGAAGACTCTTTAGTCACAATCTTTGCAGCCACTGAAGTGAGCACAGAAGGGTTGAGCTCTCCCCTCCTCCCCTGCCCCGCCTTCTCTCCCCACCCTCTCACCTTCTCTCCTGTCTTCTGCCCTTTGCCCTCTCCTCCTGCCTCTCTCCCATCTTCTCTCCCTCTTTGTCTGTCCTCTTACTCTGTCTATCTTTCACACTTTCCTTGCTTCAATAAAACTGAGGCCATGGAAAAACATCTTTTAAAGAGACATTCAATTGATTTTATCATATACTGACCATTTTGTTTTACATATTTCACTTATATACTTAATTTTTTACACTTGATATAATTGCCATTTGGAACATTCTAAGATATCCCTATAAGGAAAGGCACAATTTCAAAACGGAAACCAAATTGTACCTTTTATCCCGTTATCCACGAGCAGCTGACTTCTCAGCACAGGCTCCCCGGCGTGAAGGCTCAGGCCCTGCAGACGGAGCTGCCTGCCTGACTGCCTGGACTGCAGCCGCTGCGGAGGCTCTTACCCCCTCTCATCATCCAATCACCACCATAGGACGGGGGACCACTCCTGTCGTGCGGGATGGGGGTTTAATTTGTATTGCCGATGACACCCTTTCATAGATAGGAAGGGGCAGAGGAGATGCCAGTCTCATTCTCCCATGACCAATGAGCCTTGTAAGCAGACAGCCCACTGTGCTCCCTTTGGATATAGCATGTTCTTATTTTCAAGAGTCTCTAGATCAGAAGGGAATCAGCATCGTTATGAATTCTCAAAACTTGTTTGAGATTTTCATGATCCCCATCAGTTTTAGGGGCATTCATTGGAGAAACTTATATTGTTCCATGGTCCTTTCCCAAAAACTGCATTCTGGTACCTGAAACTGGCAATTTCCTTTTAATTACACGGCTCTAACAATTTGAACAATATTTCTCCATGAAACAGTGCGTTTACTTTATTTTAAACTAATGGACATAACAACCTCGTGGAACCTCAGAAGCCCTTGCCATTTTTTCATACTAATGTCTATTAAGCAAGCCTCATCTGCACGTGTTTTCCTGCCTCTTGAGCATAATATATAGCACAGTCGTAGAGGAACATAGATCCTGTGCATCACAGACATCCCATTTACAGTTTTAATGTTGAAAATATAAACCTCATAATAGGGCAACAGCTAATTCTATTCATTTATATAGTTACTCGAAGTATGTTAGGTTTTGCAATTTACTCTAAAAATAGTTTATTTTGTGACGTTTAGAGTCTAGGGTACCCTAAAATAAGAGTTTTTTTAATGCTAAAATGTTTTTAATAGAGAAATTAACAAACATGTCTAGAAATTTTATGTTAAGAAGAACAGCGAGCACAAACAACTCTGACGTTTTACTAAATGTTATTTTATAAAAATGTCTAAACTTGCAACATTTTAAAATAAAACCATAAGATGGCATAAATATTTGGGAAACACGATAATACAAACTAATAGCAGCAGAAAACCTACCAAAGAGCTGCAGAAATAAGCAAATTGCAGGCCAAACTCCTTCCGTCTGCCCCATGCCCTGTGAGAGGGGCGGGGTCTGGAAAGGGCTGTGGTCATGCCCGAGGACCAGTCCCGTGGCTGCTCTGACCGCAAGTTTGCCCAAAGAGCTGTGGAATGATAGGGGACATAAGCTCAATTTGTTCCAGCTCTGGAAAGCAGGCCAGATGTCTTCTGATGGATGAAGGAGTCCTAGGATGCATATGAGTCACCACAGGCTCTCTGAGCTCGCGAGGGAAGTATCTAGTGCACTTCAACAGTGGTTTAAGGAGCGAATCTCTGAAGACCCAGCAGTTCTGTTTTCTATTGACAGTTCTCTTGCAGGATGATCTGACCTACTATCCTAGTGTCAAAGCTGTAGTTTGCCTTCAGGGAGGACTAAAGAGTTTTATTTTACCAGTTCAGGCTGGCTTGCTGGCTCACATAGAGGTCAAGAGCCTGCTCCCCAGAAGTCGAAGTTGCCAAAGGGTAATTTATCACTATCTGGCATATTCAGGAAAATATATAATCCTGCAGAATAAATTTTAAAAAGGAATAGATGTAACTTTTTTCCTGATTGACATATATTATGTAAATAATGCCACTGTAATGTCATATTTTTGTAATAAAAGACAAAATTCAAAACATAGATCAAAATGTATTGTTACTTTAGAGATAGAGCCTGAATGAGTCTGAACATAAATATATGAATACGAATGAATTATTGTATTAATCAGCTAAGGTTTAAAAATATGATTCAAATGCTTCCCTTAGACTTCTTTTTCACATACATGTACATGTTACAGATATATTTGTGTGGCACGCTACCTAGAATATTGAAGATAGTCAGTAAATTCCAATCCCTTCCCTTCTTCCTCTTTCCTTAATCTGTGTAAATTTGGTAAAATGTCAAATCAGTCTGATAAATCTATGTTGTACAATGGATATTTCCCATGTTTGTTATGAAAGCACAGTGATTTTGAAGTCTTGTAAAGGATATAGCTCTGAGATATGGTTATCCTTGGCTAATGCTTCGGGGCACAGGGCTTTGTAGGAAAGTAGAGGATAAACTTTGAGAAAACCCATCAGCATCGTGTAATCAGAGTAACGCCATCACAAACAAACCAAGCTACCCATGAACCAATTTCCAGGTTAATTCAAAAGGTATAATTAACTGCATTTTAAATGTCCCGTCCCCCTATTTCTCCCTGTCCCTGAGCCATCCTTGACACACTGCACTTCCTTCCTGGCAGAGCCTCCACGTGGTGCCCACACTCATCACACTACACAATGCTTCTGTGCTGCAAGTGGATTTTTCACATTTGTCTATTGCCCTCGAAATTGTTGGTTGTTTGCCAGTTTCTTAAGATATATCAAACAGAAAGAAAAACTGCTAGTATCTGATCTTGAAATAAGATCCTTGAGCATTCCCAGAGTATGTGAACCCTCTACAGAAAATCTTATAGCCATAAAAATTATGAGAAAACGTTTAAAAATATATAACTTATTTTAATTCAGTGCTGCAATTCTCTAGCTAAATGAAACCACATTCCTCCTTCATTCTTTCTAAATCTAGTTACTCAGGAGATTGCAGTCTCATTAATCATCTGGTTTTCATAGCATCATTACTTTTTTCCCCACCACTCAATAGCTTCGGTAATCCCTCACCATCAAAGATAGTGTCAAGCCCGCATACTGCTTACCAGGAGAAGAAGAATAGTTTTCTCTCTACTGACAAAAAGTAAACTTTAAATCCTTATATTCAGTTTTTAAGGCTATTTTGTGCATTGGATATGCTTTGTAATTAGAACTAGTCTTTGTCACAATCCCATCAATATATTATGGAGAGAAATGCGTCTGTTTCAATATTTATTTGTGAAGCAAGAAGCTGAATTTGGAGCTATTTAAACTGTAATGTCCACTCTTTTACCTTTAGGTTCCAAGAGGAACTCCATCACCCCACGTGGACACAACCTGTTACAGTCGCTTCAGCACTAGGCTCGCTCCACATGTTAACATCCCTTCTAGCCTGCCTGTGGCACATTGCTTCAAATAGATCCTGCTTTATACAAGTTGGACATGAGTTCATTTCAATACATGCATATTTACCATTTTAAAATCTCTATTTCCAGCTAAAGACCTTCATGAAGAGCTACGATGGAGTAGCCGCTGCGTCTTTCTCAAGAGCTGTAGAAACCGTGGAAGCCAATGTGCGCTGGAAGACGCTTTATCAAGACGAGCTTTTCCAATGGTTAGGAAAAGCCCTGAGACACTAATCTGTGTGTCTTATACACAATTCAACTCAGAATTTTGTGAAAAGAGTTGCTTTATGTGGAATGAGGCAAATGTACTACATGAAAAATGGCCAGATTTTCAGTGTTAACGTGTTGGAGGAATTTTTTGTTCTTAATTTTTGGTTTTGGGGGATTTTTGTTTGTTTGTTTCATTCATTCTGTTTTGTTTCTCTACTGGGTGTTCTTTTCTAAAGAAACTCTTGCAAGTGACACTATCCATGACTGCTTCAGCTGTACATTCTTCGCTGTACGGGACCAAATAAGATAGTGGTGCATGTTGATGTTGCGGTTGGTTTGGAGAAACATACTCAGAGTATTTTGTGCATGGTTGTATGGTCCTGCCTGTGTGCTGGCATGCTTATTTAAAGTGTCCAATGTTGTATGTGAATATATGTTACATCCAGGATGGGCGTTATGCAAAAGCACAAAGATTATCTATGACAATCAGTGTTGCAATGAAAGAAAAACTAAAAAAGACAATTATACTCTTAGTCCTGGGCAATGTGAGAGGTAAAACAGCCCTTTAAGTGATCAGTGTCACTTGTTTCAGCACTTGGACTGTCTTGCAATGATTACTGTGTTCTAACTCATTTTCTTTGAGTGGAAGCTGTGTATACGTTTAAAGGCATATAGATAGTGTATGCCTATGTATATGTACATAGGGAAGCCCTATATGTATATCGTATGTTGTACACTGCACTGTGCAAAGAATCTCTTCAGATCAAAGAAAATATGCTTCTTTTTATAAACTTATGCGAGCTTCGAAAAGACTTAAAAGAATTTATCTCAACACTATCTTTCCTGACAATTTGCTGACTAAACTTCTCAACTGTGATGGATTTTTTTCATCCACTTCCTGAACAATGGTCTATTCTACTACATAAAAATGAATTCAAGCAAAATTTATTTATAAACACTCTTCTCAGTCTCCTAAGTGGCAGCCTCTCTTCCTAAGTATAGATTCTGTCATCATTTTGGTCAGACTTCTTATTGCATAAAACAATTGTGCATACTTAATAATTATCAGTGCTGAGAAAATATTTATTTTCCATCTTGTTTTCCATCTCATATTGGGTGGTCTGGAGAGTTAAAAACTCTCTCCGTGTGTTGGTCTTTGAGTCTATGTAATTCTAATCCTCCAGTGAGCAACCATACCTCAAGTGGGTCTATTAGCATTTAATAACCTTCAATGCCAGTTGTGCCAGCCATTAAGATGAAGAGTTACTTTTCTTTAGCAAAGCTTTTCCTTTGACAGTGACAACTCTGTTCTACCTGGGAATTTCAAACAGACCTTTTCATGGCTGTGTGTTACATAACACACGTGTTTTTAAATGGTATTCTCACCTAATAGGCCAGCTCTCCAAACATTGTTTAGATGCTCTAAAAATGATATATTTTGTTTACCATTATAAAACTCCAATACAACTACTGTACATAAGGCAAATGTTTGTGGACCATGTTCTGTTTTCTTGAGGTTTTCCTCTCCTCCAAATATTCTTGCAAATCATTGAAAGAAATCTATTCTAGCTCTAGTAGTCACTGAACACTGGGGGAAAAAAGTGGCTATTTTAGAAACCGGAGCCATAGGTTTATTATAAGTTTGTAATAAAGAGAAGCAATTTCCTAATCCACAAAACAAGTATTACCTAAAATGGAATTTTATCTTTTTAGCAATTACTATCTATTACTCATAATTAATTTTTCAGCACTTCATTTGGTTAAAGCAGGTGAATTTTAAATACTCTCTGTGGTTTTAATAAGACATAGTAATGCTTAGGATAAAATCTAAGTCACCCCACCTGTCAGAAGTGATGAAATTCAGTTAGTACAAATCACATGTGTGAAATCCTTAAGGGGTAAGTTCTGAGACAGAATAGGAAGAAATATCACACTGTTGTGCGGGTCTGAAGCATCACCACTGGATTCATGTAACAGAGAAGGTAAAAAAATGAGAGGTGGATGTCTTGTTTTGTGTCGTGAATTACTAAAAATTCTTAACAGTTGTGACATTTTTTTGAGCGAAATCACCATTTCTAGATTTGATTTAGAAGGCTTTTATAGTTCTTTTTTCCTCCTCACTGTTAATAATATTAATCCTCTTTCAGTATTTTAGTGGCCTTGAACAACTGGTTTAGCTACAATGTCAAATCCTAAGTGTATAATTCTGTGCAATGTTCAATACCTCATATAGTACTTGTTCAACAGTATAGTGGCATTGTTATGGAATTTCGGTTCTACATATTTTTCAGTAATTTATCCTTTCCAATGTTTAAGATATTTCAGGCTTTAACGTTTTTCAGTTGTTTAAATAAGTAATATTTTCAAAATAATAAAATGACCAATGATATCTCTTGGAATATTCTGTAAAATGTAGTTATAAAATTCTATTTTATATATAGAGTTTTATCTTTTTTCTCTTCTTTGTCTATTTTCCAAATCGTATATAAGCACGAAATAACCAATTGTTGAAAGTGTCCAGCATCCAGGCTTGAGACTTTACTGTGCCGATATACGTGCAACAGCAAAACTTGGTCTCCATTAGAAAGGACTAAATTATTTACCGTACTGAGTATTAAATATCTCTAGGTAATTTGTAAATAAAAGGTTTTCCCCATTTTTACACATTTTTCCTGAAAATTTTCTTTTAATCTCTGAAGTTGTTTTAAATACACAAGTGCGACTTCTAAGGCTAACATCTACAATGCTAGGTTTATTCTTGAGTTTCAGGAATATGGATTTTAGCTGGTGCTTAAGCTCACTTTGGTTTATATTATTTCTAGGATGATAGATCACAGGACTGAGATGCTTGTGGTAGTGCAATTTACAAATATTATAACTGTAATATCTTGCAAGGGTATTAAATTTGTACCATATATTTACAATTTGCATTTTATTTTCAAAGAACTTTTACAATGCTGTTTTATTTGACTCTTTTCAAAAACATAATAAATTATATTAGCCCTGATAGTCTGTTGAGGAAACTGAGGGTCAAAGGAGCAACATGAACCCTATGGCATAACACAGCTGTTGATTTGGGGACAGATACAACAACCTGACTTCCCATGCAGCCCTCCTACATCAAAGCAGAAAGACACGTTTGAAATGCGTCCATCCATTGCATTGGTTGGAGATGTTTCAAATACCAGGAGCAACATCAAAATACATGATTAAATATATCTACAATAATTATATTATTTTTTAAAGTCTGTGTTTCTAATTTGCATGATGTCAAACTGAATGGAATGTTAATTAGCACTCAGTTTGGTTAACATAAGTAGTTAAATATTGGCACAAGAAGTATAGTTCATTGGTTATAGTTTACTTTTTTAATCTTTTGGTGAACATTGTTTAAATATGACCTTAAAATATTGGCAATTTGCTTTATTTTCCACACACATTTTTCAGATAAAGTCTATCTCCAGTAACAAACGGTTGGAACACAGATAAAATGGTGGTCATCTAAATCAGTGAAAATAGCGTTCAGTAAAATGTTTATAAATCTACGCAGACTAAGTTATGAAAACAAAGTTTCTGTGCAGCTCTAGTACTGGATTAGATTCAGTAAAGAGATTCCTGAAGAAGTTCACAATCATGGACTTAGTTAAAATCTACTTGCTCTTAACTTTTTAAGGAAAGTTTTTTAAGAAATCAGAAACCTCAAATAGCCCAGTTAATTCTCCTCGTTATGCCCATGAGGGAACCACACATACCTATTAAAGAAGTGGTAAAAGCTCAGACAATGAGAAATGAAGGTTCCTACACTGGTTTTGTTCCTTTATCAGAGATCATAGCTGAATGATTATCATTTGGCACTGCTAATTATAGAGTGACAATTCAGTTTAATTAAACAAATATTTATTGAGCACCTTTTATTTCACAAAGCACTTTGTGAGAGGAAGGGAAGGAAGAAATGAATAAGGCCTGAAGGAATTCACATCACGATAAATGAAACAATGAACCAAGCACAGTAAGGGCAACATGAAAAATAATTTCATGCTACAGAAGTGGAACTCAATAATTTTTAGGTATGGAAAATATTACACAATTTTTTTTGTACACTAGTTCTCAAAACTTTTATGACACTTCAGGATAATTTCTCATTGTTTGGTTTCACAGTACTTAATCGTGTTTTACAGAAATGTGTAATATTTAAAAAGTATAATAAAATCACATGACTTAAACTTTATAATTGGAATATAAATTGGAATACAATTTATCTTTAAGAAAAGTTGTTTGAGCAATTTAATAATATCAATGTTATCAATAATATTGTAAGTTGCAGGAAGAATGTTTAACTTATGTATGTAAAAGGGGTTCGAGGTTTCTAATGGTTTTAGCATACTATTTGTATATTCACAATGTGTTAATTTTAAGCTAATCATTTATTCTTTAAAGTAGGTTCAACAATTCTTATCCTAGGTAATAATGTATTTGTTCAAATTAGTATTTATGAACTTTTGAGTACAAAAATGTTCTTGTAAAATATTCTGGAATTCCAAAGTTTAATTATATAAGAGTAACCTTCAGTTCAATTGCTTTGAATTACTAAGAAGTTTTTTTACTAAAATATTTTGTTTAATGTGGTTTATATTCTGGAAAAGCCTAACAAAAGTGTACTCTCCTAGCTTTTGTTTTCAACTTTATTTTATGAAATTCCATTTTGAAGTTTAGAAAACGAGATCTTAAAAGTGTCTTAAATATTAAAAATGAGCAGTTGATAAAAATATATGTTCCAATTTTAAGTATATTGCATATGTGTAATTTCACACTTTTTACTTTTTAAATAAGTTTTTCATAAATGCCCCTACTGGTAGGCAGTATGATTTTATCCAGATTTTGAGAACATACCACTTTAAGGATTTTTATTTCAAATATATAGTACTTCAAGGATAGTGCATTGAATATGTTTATCTTTTGCACATTTCTAGTTTATGTACTGTTACACTAAGAAAAAAGATGACCAATCCTTCACTTTGATCTGAATTAAATTTTCCGTGCTGTGTTAATGTTAAATGAGTTAGAGTATAGGAAATGAACAAAAATTTGAGTGTCTACTAAATACCAGACACTTTTTAGATGATATCTCATTTAATAACTCCTGTGAAATGTCATCAGTTCCAACTTACCAATGAGCAGAATGAGGCTCAGAGTTGTGATCAGTTTACATAACTGGTGGTAAATATCAGCTGGGACTCAAAACCCTGCAAACCCAAGCCTTGTGTGGTTCGCATTCGTCAACAATCTGCCTCCAACGTGCATGGAAACCTAGGACGATCCATATAGATCAGTCTCTACCGATGATGTGAACAGAGGCTTAGCTCGCTTTCTCATTGTCGTTGGCTTATTTGAGAAGAGTGTTAATTAGTGCATTCCAGTTTACCTCTCATTTCTTAGCAAAGTGACTTCATATAGCCCATAAACGTTTTCATCAAAACGTTTTGACATTATTGTGTTGTGTAGTGGGGTTTAAGTTATGACAGGTAATTAACAGGTACTCCAGCCAATGAGCATGGAAAATAAGTGAAGAGGAGGATGGATTGCAAAGCTCTTCACCAGTGGACCAAAAGATTAGGTTAAACCTCTGTCCTGCAAGTGGAGAAGACCTATTAGTCTAGCCAGAACTTTCCTTTTGCTTAGAGGTGAGGTTAAAGAAGTATTTCTCTCTTTCTGCTTATAACTATAGATGGACTGCCTCTGTTTAATTCACTTGAAGTTCCATTTTCATTGGCCTGCTGTGTGTAGATACAGTTTCCGATAACTGCTTTGACCTAGCTCTGCATAGGTCAACCTGCTTTTAATCACGCACGTTTTTATCATGTCATGTAAGAATGAAAGAGTGAAATGCTTTATGGCAAACATTACCATGGACTTGAGAACATCTGCCTTGAATGTGCAGTGCATTTATTTTCTAAGTTAATCATTCAGTCTGTCTCCCTGTCGCCTCTGCTGGGTCTACAGTCTACGCTGCTGTTGTACATGCTTCTGTTTCACCTTCAAATAACTTTGGACCTACTGGGTGAGAACCTTCATTAGTCAAATTTTGTTATTCAGTCTTATTTAAAATAGATTTGTCATCTATTTCATTCCTCAAGTACAAACTATTTTTAAATGAATTTCTCCTCAAACGTTATATTCTACCCTTAAAAATAGTATATAATAATCTCATATTATCTTTTTAAATGCTACCTCTGCAGTGCCATATGTGAATATACTTGCTATTTTTCTTTGCTATATTTTAGTCCCTTTACGTTTTCATAATCGTTGGAAACAAACTAAGACTATAAAACTAAAACATATTAGGACTATGAAGCTTGTGTGCTGTCCAGAGGCTTGCAGCAAGAAGAGACATTCTGCCTTTGAGCTTTCATGATTGCCTTTCTGGACACCACTGAATTAATTAGATAATCTTTACAAAATATGTGGACTATTTCTAATGAACTTGGATTTATTCAGCAACAAAAGTTTATTTTCCTAAAGCCATTCCCCAAATGAACAGACTTATTTAAAATATGCCAAATGGAAGCAATTTTTCCTTTCTAATATTTCAAGATTTCGGAATAAAAAGTAACTGTTCTTTAGTAAATGCAAGTTACTAAAGCATTTACCAAATAAAAGACTTTGTGTCAGTTTAGCAGATAAATTTTTCTATGGCATGCCTTTAAAATTATTCAGTAAAAATTGAATCAGTGTGTATTCAACATGAAATTTTTATTCCATTATAACCAAGCACTAACAAAATGGATTTTTCTAAATGAGAAAATTTGTCTTCTGTATTTTAAGAAGAACAAATTTGAATTTTGCCTCTGATAATAAAATTTTATACAGTAATGTGTAATTCATCACTGTCTTAATTTTCTGACATGCAGATAAGGCCAACATAAATAATATCCTCTGCTTTTTTTATTATGCTGCTCTTTTTGCATGAGAATCTCTTAAAAATTCTGACTATACACACTGTAGAGGTCCATGAAAAGGGAAAAAAAACACTTTATTTTCTGACATGGACTTTTCAAATCTATACACACGCTACAGCTAGAATAAAGAAGTATGTATTTGTGCTATATTGTAAAAAATACCAATTCAGTCTCCTTTTTAATTATATGCCTGTAGAATAAATGAAATGATCTGCACTTTGGTAAAAGTGAGTTTACCTGAAATGCATTTCAGATTGCTTTTTAATAGGTTTTCTGTATTTGACAGACTGTCAGGATCCCTGAATTTCAAGAACTGTTTTCAATAACATCAGGCCTATAAAATATATATAATCAGGACTGATAAGTAGTACTCAAAATATATTTTTTAGCATCTCTGGGATTTTCTTTTTCTAAGGATTGTTCAGACAACATTAGAATTTGATTGTGCAAAGCCACCCATTTGAGCCCCACCCATGATGCTTTAGACAGCCATAGGAAATCCTCCTCTGCCGTGGGCGCGAGAAGGAGAAATGGAAGGCCTTCCAAGACAGCATCAAGGACACTCCTATATACTTACAGTCAGCGTCTACATGTGGTGTGTGTATGTGTATATATACTGGAGATATATAGATATATGTGTCTATATATTTCAGATATATTATATATACATATATATCTCATTTATCTATATACATATAGTCTACTT